AATTTATACTTAATCGAAATAAGCTCTTCAATTAATTCTAACTAGCGAATAACTCGGAATAAGCTCTCCTAATTTAACCCACTAGTCGCATTAAAATCTAGGAAAATAGACCGATCTAAGCCACAAACACATAAGCTCGGTTCATGTAACTTATGTTGTGCTATCCCTAACAATGCACGACTGTTAGTTGCTACAAACGAAATAAGAGCGACGACGATTACGGATCGAAGCCTCAAATATAGCAATTAACATGCAATTCCTAACTTAGGTGATCAAGCTAAATTAAAAATCACACATTATGACATGAAACTAGAATAGCACAAACAATTTTATACGACGAGTAAAACGAAATAAATAGCATTAATCAAACATAATCATTGAGGGTTCAACGTCCCTAGAACCGAAATAGTGTTTAGCTACACATAGCTAAATAATAAAAATAAAAATAAAAATCTATGATCTAATAAAATAACGCAACACTGAATAAATAAACCAAAACTCCTTCAAATGATATATGTCATGGTTGAATTGAAATGCAGCAGCAAATAATCTTCTTTGATCTCCTCCAATCACTCGCGAAAAGGTACCAGCATGCGCCCTGCAAAATTCCAAGCAGAACTCCTCCTGTTTTATGCCACGCATGACTTTTTGATAATAATTCCAAAGTCCAACTTTTACCAAACTCTCCCAGCATGAGAGTCCACTTTTAATCCAAATTCCCATCCCATACTCACTAAACATAAATTCCACCAAATAATTGAGAGCCATCTGCGTGTGTTTTGGCCCAGCTACAGTAGTAGTCCACTTTAATTCGCAACCTCAACAGTGCCACGTCACAAATAGGCGTATTAACTGCACAATAGACATAAAATCGAATATTGGTGTATGTCCGTTCACAAAATAAAATACGTGAGAAAACTGGAATAATATACTCAAATCAAATACTCAAATATGCAAATTAAGTCACAAAATAATACAAGATTTCTCACGTATCAATCTAGGTATAGCTACTGACAGTCGATAATTTGCTCGTAAATTATTATGTTATGTTCGGATAAAAGCGTTTACTTCCTTGTTTGTCTTTGCAAATAAATTTATGTCTGGTTCTATCTCAACCAAATCTACCGAGACCAAGAAGAAAAAAGGACGCACAGAACCCACTGGTGCCAGCACTTCTCGCCTTGCTACCCCTCCCATCAGGAGCTCGTTCTCCGACCTCTTGAAGAACGTTCTGCCGAACCCTCGCAAGAGGAAAACAACCGAGGATGGAAATACCTCGGCTCAGCAAGCTGCTCCTCCCGAGCCGACCTGCAGCTCCACTCAACAACCTACGGAGTTTGCTACCCATAAAGACCCTTATGTTCAATCACCGTACCTGCTCTCTATCTTCCCCGGCAATGAAGCTGATCGCTGGGTTGGTGATAGTAAACAATGAGCTAAGTTCTGTATGAAGCATTTTGTTGTGGTAATGTTTTATCTCTTATTCTTGACGTCATATACTCCTTCTTATCGTGTACCGACCTTCCTATACTTAGTCAATAATTCGTGTATGTTTGTTGTATACAGTTTCGCTCGAGTCTCGCCAGTCTCTTGTATGAGACGATTGAAGGCGAGGCTTCTTCGTCCGCCAAGTATCATAAGCTTAAAAAGGCGTATGATGTTGAGACCTCCAGGGCCGAGCTCAATGCCGCTAAAATCAAAATGATTCAACAAGCCGGGAAGATCAAATCCTGGAAGATCAAATCCCAAGAGCTCGCCCAGCCCTCTCAGATTGCTCGTCATCAGAAGGAGATTGACCCCCTTTGAGCTGACCTCGAGTTACTCGTCCTGGAGGCAGCTACCAAGGAAGCGGCTGCTCGGCAAGAGACGCGCGAGAGCTTTCTCACTTCTTCCTTTGGAGCTCGGTTTCTCAATGTTTTCTGCCAAGAGCTGCTCAACCTCTATTAACTCCATGCCCTTTCTCTCTAAGCTTTACCTAACTGCTAAGCAGTACCTGCTTATAGGTGCTACACGTGCTCTGGAACAAGCTCGGACGAGTGGGGGACTTGGAGAACTATAATGAGGCTACCATGATTCTCAACCTCCCCGATCCCGCTGGTTGGGCTGGAAACCCCTAGCTGCCGCTTGATCATCCCTGGTGGGAGTCCTCTTTGGAGATTGCTCTGCAAAAACTTGAGCTCAGCGAAGGTGAGAAGGAGGTTGAAGACGAAGAAGGGGGTGAAGATGAAGCTACCGCCGAAAACGCTAGTGGGGAGCAAGTCACGCAGGCCGAGGAGAATGCCCCATCTGGTCAAGATCCCCTAATCTGATTATTGTATTTTTAATCTCTTGTTGTGATGATAGCTCGTATTCAGTTGTGTTGTTTATTTTCTTTTGAAACAATCATCCACCTATTAAGCATTTCTGGAATGTATTATGAACTCAGCTTATCGAATCTAATTTTTACCAAGTATGATTAGCTCATTTATACGTAACCTTCATGCCTGTGGAGGAAACATCATCTAACCCAATATTGCCCATTGTCACTAAGTATAAATAGCTAGGCCTTTATGAGTTCGTTCTCATCCATTGCTTTTAGATTCACCAAGTATTACGACTTCATCACAAAATGTAGCTACCCTAATGTGCTATAGACAACTACCTTTTATTTTTTTGTTAAGTGGTGGCTTCTTCTGTATCTTCTGGATGTATGTATGGGCTTCTGACTGTCGAACCTTTGTATTATTTTGGGAGCTATAAATTCTATTGTTTCGACAAAAAAAAATAAAATAAAATAAAAAATAAAAATAAAAAAATAAAAAATAAAAAATAAAAAATAATGTGCTATAGACAACTAGGTTGTACTTTCGATGTTATTAGTTCGTCTTTATAAAGGCGCGACCTGCAGTCATCACCACCCTTTGAACAGCACCCGAGCTCGTAAGAGCTCGGTCAGAAGTCGTCACTCCATCGAATATCACTCGAGCTCATGAAGTGTAACGTCCCATTTTTATTTGCCGAAAATCAGAATAAATTTTTCAAAATTTAGTTCAAACATTTAAGGCGTTACTCATAAATAAAGGAGACTACCCATCGGGTACGTTCTATAGCTACGGGGATAACCGTTCGACGGGCAATATAACTCACATCGAAGGCTACATGGTTCACATGCATACATCGATTCATACCACAACAATAAAAATTAATTAAGGCATAGCAATTTCAAATAGAACCCACCTGTTAATTCGGTAGAGAAGTCACAAAAATAGGTCGGTAGGTTGAGGGCTCGAATCCTCAAACGCCTACATTAAGTCCAGATGCTATAATCAACATCTACTCTGACTTAAACAGAAATCACGATTATTCTTAGCCGAACTTGATTCGATTAAGTTGTTCGTGAAGTCCTGTGGATGTTGGAACACTTAGGCTCGACACTAAGACTCAACCAAATGCATATGGGAGTTTACATAATCCAACACAAACATTGACCAAGTCAAACACTTAAAGAAACGGAAAACGAGTCAATTCACAGTTTTTATTGCAAAAGCCGTATATTTAAAATACTAGATTTTAAATCACCAAAATTAGGTTGGTCAGGTTATCATACGAATTTAACTCTGACATTTTAACCAAAATTTCACCCCCCAGAGTAAGCAAAACCACCAATTTTCAGCCCCAAATTCAAAGTGTGCCATTTTATAAAATTCGAGCAAGTCTATGGCAAAAACGAGCATATAATTAGCAACCAGAACAAATGAATGAATTAACCTATGAATTTTTATACCATTGACTACAGCATGAGAGTTGCAAAATATCAAAATTTCAGCCTGAACATTAACTGTACGAATTTTAAAAATTCCTACAAGTTTCAGCAGTTTATCGAATTTCAGTTAAAACCAAACCAAATTGAACTCCAAAACTTCCCATATTTTAACATCAAGAATCCACACATAAAATAAGTACTCCAGCCAAGTTTCAGAATTTTTCAACAACTAACCGATTTATGATAAATAAAACAACTTTCTGCTGAATAAGAAAATAAATTATTTACTCTATTAAACTTACTCCAAAAATTCCAAAAATTTTACACAAAATAAAATCATAACAGAGGCACAACATAGTAAAATTTCAGCCAGTTTCGATCACTACACAATTTATTATGAAATTAACATGAAGCTAACCAAAAATCATTTTAATTTATTAAACTAGCTACAGACCTTGAAAAATTACGAAATTTTAACACAAGTCAGATGTTCAACAGAATACATGACCCTCAAAATTTCAAGGAAAACAGAGTAGTACATAATTATTAATAATTCCCACACTAAAACAGCGGATATTCAAATTCAACAATTTATCTATGACTCGTTTTACGACAAATTTGTCCGAAGTCTTCGCCATAAGACTAAGGACAATGCAACGTTCCAATCCACAGCGACTATATCACAAATCGACGAAGTCTCGTTTGATTTCACACAATTGAAGAGATTCACGTACATTCACGGAAATTATAATAATGAACTGAGACGAACGAAATGAATCATCAACATATTTTAACACGAATGGTTTGAATAACACGTCAATCAACACGTGTATACATGATCTCGTTCGAGTTCGCACGAACCGAAGAGATCGATACATAATTAAATTATAACGAGGCCCGACATATTCATATCAATATCAACATACGATTATAGATAACACTTCATATTAACACATATCATCAAAAGACAAGAGATATCCACCCCTTACCGTTCACCATACGAGAGAACAAGGAACAAAGGTGAAGGGCTCGGCTCTACGGGGTTGCTATTGGGGTACTCGGCATTCTCGGTTCGTATAAATGGAATTTCGGACTCAGCTCGAGACGTTCGGTCTCGTTTTGGCCCTGCTGATCGGGAGGGCTGCTACTACTCACTCGCGTCTCTCCGGGAAGGCCCGACCCCGCTGCTAGAACACGAACGGAACCGCCGCTGCTGTTCGGGCCCTAGACGAAGGCCAACGGGAAGCCGCTGCTATGCTCAAAGGTCGTCTGGCTGAGAACGGGGCTTGCTGCTAGCCACGCACGGCTGCGGTAAAAAGGAAAAATCGAACAGGGGCGGCCTCTCCGATGGCGATGGCGGCTGCTCGATGACTACCGACGACTTCCCCTCTCTAATGGGTGACCAGTGGCTCGCGATGGGACAAGAAAGGGCTGCTGCGAAATTACCAAAGAAGGGAGACGAGACCTCAGGCGTGGTGGACGATTCGACGGAACCTACTACTCGCCGGAAGGGGTCGCGCGACGGTGGAGGATCGCCGGCGACTGCTGAGGGATGGTCCAACGCGAACAGAACTCCTGGTGCGGCTATGGTGGTTTTCAGTTTCAACTTCTGACGCCGGGTCGCTGCTGGAAGTGCCCCGACGCGGAGGAGAAGGGCCGCTGGAGGTTGCTGTGCGTGAGGATGAACTCGCCGGAGGTGGTCGTCGGACTTGGGCTGGTCACGGCGTCTTGCTGCTGGGTCGGGGATGATATGCAGCGGGAAGGATGGCGTGAAGAAGACGTTGATGAGAGGGTTTGGCGGTGAGTTGCGGCGTTGATGATGATGAGCAAATGTCGATCAGATTTGAGCGAGAGATTGATGATGTCGGGATTTGGCGAGAAAAAAATAAAAGAGAGAGCAGATGCACAAAAGCTGCGGGTCGATCACAAAATTGAGCGAACGAGGAAAAATATATATAAAAAGCCTAGGGCTAACAATCTGTTATCCAAGATAACTCACACACGCGCACAATGGGTGGAAAACCGGATCGGGTCGGTTTCGCAGGTCGGCCGGTTCATGCGAAGGCTCAAAGAAAGAATTGGCTCTCGGGCCCGACTAGACGTAACCTTAATTCGGTTCGGCTCGACAATTTAATCGCACGATAAAATAAAATTACGGGATATTATTTCTATATTTATAATACACACAATTAAAAAAAATTACAAAATAATAATATTAATAATAATACACACATTTAATTTTTAAAAATAATAATATTAATAAAATACAAATACACATTTTATTTAAATAATGATACATTTAGACATTTAGGTATTTAATTACAGATTGGCAATTAAATCATATTTAGACAATTAGACATTCATCGCAATTTAATAAATAAATCATATAGACATCTAATAATATATAACATTCAATCAATAATAATAACAACAGCAAATAAAGGCAAATAATAATAATAATAGTAAAAATAAATAATAAATAATTCTCAAATATTCAATAATTAAACAGGACATTACAATCTATCCTCCTTAAAATATTTCCGTCCTCGGAAATGCGAAAGAACACACATAAAAAAGGAACGATAGACTCGCACAAGAATTCTCAATCACGAGATCCGGCATCATTCTTCGGAACTCGATTCCGTTCTCATGAGTCATATCGCCATATACTCGAAAGGCATGTACTCACATACAGTGATACAGGAACCAATCCGACTCGCCCATGCTCAAATGTTACCTTCTTGCTTGGGAGGGTGATCAGTCCTACCCGAGCTCAGGCGTACATCCTCTTGCAAAGGACCCAGTTCGGCTTAGCCTATACTCATGAGTATCAGCGACTTGCAACAGCACACAAGACATCAACAGGTCGTTCGGTGTATTGTCAGCGTACTCCGAATACCTCACCATCTAGGTGGAGACGTGATGCCAAGTTTCAGTCTCGTATTCGAGTCACACTGCTAACTTGCTCACGATTTCATCACAGACCGTGCGTCTCCATTCGAGACCACAACGCGGTACCACTAAATACAACACGACACCATCATGCTCACACTCTTATGATATCGACACCACGAGTCGAACACAACCCTTATGCCCAAACATAAGGCTTGACCCAAAGCAACACGACATTCCCAATTTTTCCGACTCGAGAAACTCTCAAGTAAAGCATAGGGACTCATCGACTACACTCCTTAATAAAAAATCATTGCTTAAGGATGTATACACATTTTAGTGGAACTTGGAGCTCTCGGTTCAAGGTTTGGGGTTAATGTAATGTCACTCAAGAGGCGGCACGCTCGCTGGCGCTGCATAAGCGGGGCGCTGGGACGCGTGCGTACCCACCTACTCGGAGACCAGCTGTAAGGTCGAGGCTTGGCCGCACACGCTGGCCTGGGGAGGTTGTGCGTTCGGTGATGGCAGCTGCAGTTCGCGTGCGAGTCGACGGTTGGCTGCTCGCTAGCCTCACGTCTCTCAGCAAGGTCGTGCGTGCTCGGCCACCACTTCGCGTGGCTACATCTAGCCAGGGTCGGGTGCTACATCTAGAGTGTGGTCTAATATAAGCCCTTGTGTGGTCTAATGCTGCTCACTCTCACCTTGTGTGCGAAAATTTTTTTGAAGTCCTTGTGTGCTGCACTTTAATTGGCTGATTGTTTTCAATGATCATTAGTAGACGAATGCACGAGGATTATCACTATTTGTCCCTATTTGTCGTGAGGCTTGAGCCAATGAGCATACACTGACTATAATGCTCCTTTTATTGATTGTGTGATGCCACAACTAGTTGATCTTTCTAGAACTTGCCTTGTTATACACGTTTATGTTTGATTCGGGATGAATATGGATTCATTTGATTGATAAGGGTACTTAGGAATGAACCTATTTTGTGTGGCCTTTCTTCTTGTTTTCTTTTAAACCGAACCCCTCTTCATATCCATTAGTTAGCCCCCTTGAGCTTGAGCCTTTTCTTCGAATGATAGCCATATTACATGCCATGTGACCTTTTGCTGATATCCCACTTGAACCTTTGAACTGAGCAATTGTGTAAATTCCTGTCTAATTTGAGCAGAGGTTCTTGTTTGTGCGGGGTGTGTACATGGGCTGCGTGTTTTGAGTTTGACTGGGAGCTGGGTGTTTTAATATTGTGTGTTCTAAGTAGGGGTTATTTATTTGAGGAGAGGATGTGTGCTATTGTTGGAGATGTGTGTGTTTGGAGTGTTGGTAATTTATTGCTCATTGTCTGATCATCTACCTCTGTTGTGTATTAAGTTATCTTTTTGGAAT